GCCCGCCGGTGCGAAAGAGTCCCGAGACTGTCTGTTAGAGAAGAGTCATCGATCAGTCGGACCGCCCTCCTCTGGACAGCATCGAGCATGGACAATGTAGTCGGGGCGGCAGCACCCCAAATGTGTGAGCAATACTCGAGGCTAGGCCTTATCTGGGCCTTGTATAGAGTGAGAAGGTCATGCGGAGAAAAGTACTTCTTAGCCCTAAACAAATAGCCTAGCTTTTTCCCAGCAGCTGCAGCTATTGAAGAGATGTGTTCGTGCCAGACCAGGTCCTCGGTGATCTGGACTCCGACCAGCCGAAATGAATGGCTCTTTGGTAGAACTCGACCGTCCATCGAAACTGTATGAGCGCTAGGACGCTTTTTGTTCGTCAAAGTACAGTACTGTGTTTTGGAAGCATTGAACTGTACAAGATTGTTGCGTCCTCAAGCAGTGATAGCCTCCAGGTCTCTTGTCAGAGAAGAAGTCGTCGCTAGTCTTCTTTTTTCCAGCTCAGCGGCAGAGATCGGCTTGTCACTCTGAATTCCTGCATGTAGAGTGCTGTCATCAGCGAAGCTGTGGATTGGGTTGATCGTGCAGGAAAGAAGGTCATTGATATGTAAGAGAAACAGTGTTGGAGCCAAGACCGATCCCTGGGGAACACCCGCGTTGACGTTGTGGGATGAAGAGGAGAATCCGTCAATTACGACGGATATCTTGCGGCCAGAGATAAAGTCAGCGACCCATCTGCAAAGCTTTTCTGGGAGGCCGTAGGATGGAAGTTTGCTCAAGAGGGCAGCGTGCCACAGCTGATCGAACGCTTTCGTGATGTCAAGAGCAACGACATGAGCCTCACCATGAGACTGGATGAGTTTACTCCACAGTTGCGTGACGTAAGCTAGGAGGTCCCCTGTGGATCGTTGGTGCCGGAAACCGTACTGCCTGTCGCTAATCAAGCTGTGACGTTCGAGGTAGTCCAGAAGCTCGCGATTTATGCACCTCTCCATCACTTTACTTATAACAGAAAGCAGAGCTATAGGCCTGTAGTTGTAAGGGTCGGTTTTAGATCCTTTTTTTGGGATGGGCTGTACATGAGCAAATTTCCAGTTTTCTGGGAAGGTGCCGGATTCATAAGATATCTGGAAGAGACGCGAAAGAACTGGAGCAAGCTCAGCTGCACATCTCTTCAGTACAATGGCAGGAATCAAGTCCGGACCAGAAGCTTTGTTGATGTCGAGCGACAAGAGCACTCGTCTTACGGTCTTATGCCTGAATGTTACCTCCCGCATAGTGTGGGGAACCCTTTGAATTGACGGCACTTGGGCGTTGGTGGGGACGTCCATGGTGGAGTTGGCAGCAAAGATCTTGGCTAGCACTTCCGCCTTGGCCTTTGAGTCGAATACAATAGTTCCATCCTGACACGTAAGTGGTGGAAGGCTACTGTTGTGTTTCAATTAAAAGTTTATGCGTTATTCTCTTCTTATTTTTCAAAATGGCGATAGGGAATATGGATGTGATTTAAATATCTTGTACTTAAACGTAAAAGTACGAAGTAAAATTTAAATATCAAAGCACAACGTTATTGGTGTTTGATCAGACAATCTTTTTGTTGACAGGTCGACAACCTATATAATATAATGAACACAAATCAAATAAGGCATAACCCAAAAACTAAAAAAAATGATCTAACCTTATAGAATTAATTTCTTTAAAGAGAAGTAGGAAAAAAGATACCTAATCTCTATCTTGGATAAATATAAGCTAATAAGCTAATCATGCGTTAGCAAAATTAATTCTGTATTCTATACCCGCATTAAGATGGTTTACACAACAATATGAATTATTTTTTGTAGATATACGAGTATTATGCCTCTTTATAATCTAACACCACGTTTCTCTTACTCTAGCTTCTCAGGGAATATTGGCAAGTACTTTATCTGGTGCTTTGCTTTTAAATATTCAAACGAAAATAAATGCAGACATTTCTATGAATTAAATATGTTTACTATATTATATTAATACGAATAATTGACAGAAAAAATACAAAAAATACATCGATTCAATGTTCAAACCAATTTTGGTTACGAAACACTATAGCGACATAAGCCAGACCTTGTGTTATTACCTTGGGCGACATATAAACTCTTTGCGCTTTCAATAGCTATTGTATTATTCCTTTCCCCATCTAGCAACATTGAAGGGATTATTTTCTTGTTGGTTTTCTCATTTTACCTAAGCACCCCAAAATACTTCAAACACTTGTCTTTAATCAACGTTCACTGTACCAGAAATACAAACAAACAGAACGTTCCGTGAGCTAATCAAAAGGAAACCACTTACGTCCCTCTTGTTTGTAGGTTTGCCCTTCAATTAAATTCGTTTTCTCCAACATACGTCCTCATATCCCTTTTAGAGGTAAGTGGGAGGAAAATAGTTGGCGCTATTAGCTCTCAAAGTATTTGCAGTGTAAAGCAACATTGTTGATATATACCCAAATACAAACGTGCATATTTTGGTGAAAATCGTGTAGTTTTTCGGAAATCACTGCCTCATTGATTATCTCTCGGTTATCTCAAAACCCTAGATTTTTGGTGGAACGTATGGTGTTTTTCAAGTTCAACAGCTACCTTAAGAAGACCAAAACAATTAGGAAATTACACAATATGCTTGTTGTACGTATACTACTTTCGCAATTTTAAAAATGCAGTAATTGTGGCAACAGATCCGCAATTAGTCAGCCACGAATATAAATTTTCAAATGACGTTACCAAGGTTCGGACTTCTGTCTAACTTTTTAGGCATTGGTTACACTGTTCGAACAATACTGAAATAAGACTGTATTTCTCGCTCTTGAGATGAAGCATCAAGCTTTACAAATATATTTCCTTTGATCTATTATATACTAAGTGACATATAAATCCGAACACCCAGTTTAAATGGTTTTATTTTAATAAAATTTTGTACAAGTACTTAATGAAGCATAATAAGTAAATGATAAAAATTTCAAAATGATTGCACTGCTTTAAAGCCCTTTGACCTTTAATAATGTGTGGATGCACCCTGATGTGCTACCCATTCTCCAACGCGCCTAGGCATGCTTCTGATCAGGTGGTCAATGTCCTCCTGTCGTATCTCATTCCAGGCAACCACCAACTTCTCTCGAAGTGCTTCTAGAGTCTGAGGAGGACGTTGCAAATTGAGCAATCTCCTACCCATCATATCCCACACGTGCTCAATTGGGGATAAGTCGGGAGATCTTGGTGGTCATGGTAACAATGTGACATCATTATGTTGAAAGAAGTCTATTGTGACTCTTGCAACATGTGGCCGGGCATTATCTTGTTGGAAAGTTGGATCTGCCAGGGTGTCAAGATAGGGTAAAAGATGGGGTTCTAAAACTTCGTGGATATAACGCTGCGCGTTCATGTTACCTCTGATGAAGGTTAAAGGTGACCTGGAACCATAAGCTATAGCACCCCAAACCATAACTCCAACAGTGTGATGAACATGTCTTTCAACAAAAAACTGTGGATTCCTCCTTTCACCATGTCGCCTTCTAACCATGGCACGACCATCGTGCATGCCTAAACAAAATCGAGACTCGTCACTAAAGACAATACTGTTCCATTCCTGATCCCAGAGTGACCGTTGTCTGCACCACTCAAGGCGACTACGTCGGTGTTCTCGAGTTAAAGGGGGGACCCAGTGTGGTCGGTATGAAAACAAGCCAAAACTTCTCATTCGTCGGTAAACACTTCGCATGCCAATAGGTCTTCCGTGTTCTGCAAACCATTCATTAGCAATGGACCTGGTAGTGGAGAAACGGTCCCTTAAGGCCAATAATCTTAGGCGGCGATCTTCACGGTCTGTTGTTCTACGGCGGCGTCCAGTGCCCCTTGCTCTTTGCGTACGGCCTTCTCGAAGCCATGCCTGACAACACCTAACCACAGTGTCTACACTTCTTTGCACTCTAACTGCAACTGCCCGAAAAGAAGGTCCAGCTTCCCGAAGTCCCACTATACGGCCCCTATCAAACTCACTAAGTTGACGAAATCGTGCAGGTCTCCGTACTCTAGGCATCGTAACCGATCGTAAAGGATGTCAAGAACCAAAATCCGCCAACGTTGATTCTTTACTGCGGCTGAAATATTCATTTTTAGAGCGTTAGTGAATTAAAAAAAACCAGTATAAAAACCGGAATGTCCAACTGATAAGGCTGAAAACTTTTTCACTTGTTACGTACAGTAAGATAAATACATTCACCAACATTTATTAAAAAAAAAAACATTTAAACTGGGTGTTCGGATTTATATGTCACTTAGTATACATATGCAGGGTTAAAAAATTGAAATACTGCGATAGGGCCAATCCGTCCACGGTGAACTAAATGAGCTGAGTGTCTTTCATATAGACTAAGTGGGCCCGTCAGCAAGCTGTTAGATTATATCGTGTTGTTCAAAATTTATCAGAGGAAACAGATTTGCAGTTGAGACAATCTGGGAGGTTCATCAGATCGAAATGAAGCAGTACTTTAAAAATATATATTCGAAGGACAAAATGACCTTAGATTCACCCCCATGCCCTTTTACCTACTCGCCGCATGTCATTCTCTGAGAATGGTTAATTGCCAAACAAAACCAATATTCGAGTGAAGAATCTTATTTGAATTTACCCGTGCATAAAAATGTAGGAATTTCGTTGTCTCATCCATACATACTATGCTTCTATATTATGACACCGATTCTTGAATTTTATGGAAATACAGGGATGCACTGCCAGCTATGCCAGAAAAATTCTGCATTGGGTCTTCGTGATATCAGAACCGCTTTGCGTTTGGCTATCAACAGACTCGGAGCGTTTTTGATATAGAGTTTTGTAGGAACCCGACCAAGCGCTTCAAATTACTGCACGCACTACTTGTATATTACGATACAGATTCTCATGTTTTTTGAATCTCTAGTCCTTCCCCCTCAGCTGCTGCTTGACATTTTTCACATTCTCCACCGTCAGTTCGCGTAATGAACATCGACACAGGTGAGAGCGAATTCCTAGACAGTCAATCGATAGTAGCTGGCACGAATGCTTGCACTGTTCTGTCGACGAAGCATCAATCCCTGTTGCCACCCCTTCGTTCGGCTTGTTAATTAAACCGAACAATGGCAAACAATGCATTAGTATAAGCTATTCATACCTACACCTGTGCCTTGTAATCCGTCAGGTATGCCCTCCACGTACCGAGGCAGACGAGAAAGGATCATTCTATATGAACATGTTTGACGTGTTTCCTATGTTTGACCAAGTTCACATCTTGGCTAGAATTAAGTTCAGTGTAAATGTCGTTTAAAGCGCTAGGGCATTTTATGGACGGTTTCAGAGAGTACTGAAACTGGAACTAGGTAGCCTTGGTCTGGTCATCAGCACACGAAAGGCACAAAGGAAGAAATCGTATTGGCTAGTCGCAATGTGTAAAGGGTCTAATGTCAGACAAACGTTGATGCAGTATGGCTGAGTTTGTCAATGTTAGAAAAAATCTATTTTGTTGATTATCTTGATCTTACTTGACGAAACCAATGCATGTTATTATGTCTCCTGGATAATATAGAAAAAAATTAATTGGACTCGTTAGTCCTAAATTCGGTGATGTATTTCTTTAGTTGCTCATTTGCTATTGAATAAACATTATAAGGAAATAAAAAGGTATAGTGAAACCTGACGACAACATTAAAACCTTATTGATGGTATAATAACAATAATAATCGTAAATAATCATAGCAGACGTTCAAAATATTATATATTTTGTGAGCAAAATCTGACTCTTTTCTGTACATTATTTACTGCTTGATTTCTCTTCTTCTCAGCCTTCAAAATTCTCTTGCTATGTTCAATTTAAGATTTGGTCTGGTGTACGAAACAAATGAAATCTGCTAATTTCAAGGTATACCTATGAAACTTAGTTTTTCTTGAATAACTACGAGCTGGCAATGTCAATGTGTGCCATATCACATTTTTAAAATCCGAAACAAAACCTCTTTTTGCCTGCGCAAAAATCCATAAGAAAGAATGAAGTTTATGCTGGATGACAAGAGACGAAACATCAGATTAGAATTCTAATTATACCATCTTGTAGAGGAGAAAAAGTGCCAATGTTAATGTACAATTTATTATGAAATTCCACTACAGCACAAAATTAAAACGATTTTGGGAAAATTCACAATTGTGTGACAAGAACAAGTTAAAAACAGATTAAAAATTTTTCAAAAACATGAAAGCATTACATCGTGAAGCCACTCGATTTTCAATCCGCGGGGACGTATAGCACCCTCTCGCATAAATATAACGTCGCGAACCGACGTAGACGTAATCTACGACGTTGCAACACGTCTATATTTTTTTTTATTTCTTCTTTTTGGGAGAAGCGGCCTTCCTTTTTGGCGATGTTGCAGCCTTCGCCGTTTTCGGTTTTGGTGCTTTTGGCTTCTTGGTCGGAGCTCCCTTGCTGGATTTCTTCGCCTTCGAATGAGATTTTTTTGCAGGCGCTGCAGAAGGTGCAGCAGAAGAAGCTTTAGCCGACGTCGCCGATTTCCCACTTTTCCTTGTCTTAGCTGGAGAAGCTTTCTTCTCGGCCGCACCAATCAAGTGGCTTCACGATGTAATGCTTTCATGTTTTTAAAAAATTTTTAATCTGTTTTCAACTTGTTCTTGTCACACAATTGTGTATATTTTATATAATTTTGACCATTGTACCAACTATCGAGCTTTCACCATGTTACTGGGCGTTTCCCTAATCCTATACGTAAACAACAATTAGCAACATCCTCACATACTACTCTCCTGATGATGATGGCAAAGTCCATTGAAAGCTAGAGAGAATTAAAAAAAGTATAAAGAGTCCTCTTTGCTTAAATTTTGTCGAAGACCCAACAAAAGGCGGAAGCTTTATACACGGTGACTTTGAAGTTGAGTCATTAATTTTCAGATAATGATTGTAGAAGGAAGATAAACCAAAATATGTGTGTAAAAATAAAAAAAAAAATAAAAAAAAAATGTTACCTTGATTTATAAAGTATCCTCCCGACAAGTATTTCAGTGAGGACCTGTATTTGATCGTGAAGTCTTGGAGCACCGGCATGCCGTCCATATGTGAGGTCTTAAGTCAAATGATTCACGAACCCGTTGTACTACATTAACAAAGGCACGAGGGGTTGGTTGCACTCGATTGGGAAACCGATCCGCATAAACATGTGCCATTTTTTATTTCGTTTGAGCCACGTAACAGACACCACTATCCACTACCGACTGACACTGACTGTATACAACGGAATGAAATACTTGTAAAAACATCGTTCCAAGTTCTTTCGCTTTTTTGTTTCCGATGCGATGAACCGATAAGGCGAATTATATCCGTTGTCGCCAAACACGAGCACATAATATTATTATTGAGACAGGGCGGTACTCAAACTTCCAAAGGGCTATAACTTTGTTACTTTAATTTTACCAGAAAAATGGTAAAGGAAAAAAACATTCCTTTTGATCAGATCTACTCACTGTTAAAATAAATGACTCAACTTCGAAGTATATATATCTAAAAAAAAAAAAAATATTACCACTTCAGTGACGAATTTCGAGCCTCTGGCTGGTTCAACATGCATGAGCGCTTTTTGATACATACATATATCTACCTATATACCAAACTTGTTAAGAGATCGGATCTTCATGATAGGGAAACTCGTTCTTGTAATCTCTATGATGTTCCTTTACATAGTACTGAACAGTTTAAAAACTCATTTACTTATGTTGCATCTACCATGTATAACTCATTGCCAGATGCAGTAAAAGATTCGATCTCACTTAGCAGCTTCCGAAATAGAGTCAAATCCCATGTGAAAAGAGCACAATAGTTAGTTTTATTTTTGTTGTATTAATTACACCCATCATTATTCGCTCATTATCATCTAATTGTTAGTATTGTATTATTTACGGGGGTTGCATGGAAGAGCAACTATGTTGAATGCCGCCTCCCTCATCAAATGAGTTTTTTTTTTGTTTGTTACAATTTATCTAAAAAATAAAGACATATTATTATTATTATATAACTTAAAGCGGTCTATTGCTGCCGCAGTTGTATACCCGATAGCAATAACCATGGAATAACCTTGACAGCTCACAGCATTTCCTCAACAAACCGTCAAACCTCACAGCCGCGTAACTATACTTGCCGATTGTCAAACCACTGAAGTGTTGGACTGCTCCAAGTTACCGGCAGGGGTATTCTGTGTAAAAACTAAAAAATCTCCTGTAGCAGACTAAGTACTATTTAGTGTGCAAATTAAAAGCATTTATATATGGAAGTACGACTCAACGACGCGACATGCATTGTTGGTTGCTTGTTGGTTGCAGAAAGCCTGCAGTGCTTGCCTCTGAGAAGATGTGAAAGGAAGAAAGTTGGTTGAGTATCAAGATCCCATTTGCATGATAATGAGCCTTATTCATAAAAGAGAAGCATATCCTCGGAAGCATAAGGTAAAAGTATAAGGTTTTCATATTCATAATGATTACCTTATACTCGCGAGGATATCCTCCAAGAAGAAGTAAGAGGTTGACTGGTATTTGTAAGTTGAGCGACATGTCCTGATTTGTTCCAGCTTGTAGTTGACGAGTTCGTTCACTCAGCATCACTGACAGTTGTACTCCAGAGCTTACACAGACCGTTCCCTATATTTACTGGATGCAGTTTGTTATCAAATTAATGAACATGTCATCCTCAAATGAGGAGGAAACTATAGAAACTAATGGCAATGACCCGCAGTTCATCGCAGATGAAGTTTCCATTGCTCCCATTATATTGCAAAAGTCGCAGGTTCCAAAAATAAAAATGAGGAAAGACGATGCCTTGAAGATGTTGATAAAATACGAATCAACATTGGGTAAACCATAAGATACTAAAAGCTTGTTAAAAAAAGTCAACAACTTGAAATCAATATTGAAGAAAACTAAAAATCTGTCCGCAAGCCATTGCACATTTGCTTCGTCGAACCGATATAATTTTTTGAAGTCACGACCAGGTGAAGTTAAACGAGTTTCGTACGTTTTAGCATCCCTAACATCCACAATTTCCGCTATCTTCGTTTGATCACCTTTCGTTAGGAAGTTGAGTCTGCTACTGAATATCCTTTAACTTATGTCACTGCTTTGAAGAATATGCTTATACTCATAAAGCAAAAGCATTTACTTCAAATTATTATAAATACCATCTGGACGATTTCCTTCAAAGTTTGCAAGTACAAGGATATCCTTTATTTTATGAATACGGCTCAATGTGTATTGGTCTGCAGCATATAAGGTTACTGCTATGTGAGGAAATTATTACTGATAATGCTGCCAACCAAGTATAGGTATCTATTAGCTGTGTTTGACGGATTTTTTACAGGTTGTCGTTTCTGGAGCGAGGCTGGCCCGTGTAAAGATAACATGGACATGCAAAACAACTGTTGAAATATTATTTACTAGGCTCTCTACAAGACTACCCGTAGCAAATTTTTTCCCGAAATCGTTGTGCAACACTTGAAAAATGCAAATGGAAATTGGAAAATTGGCGCCTTAACGTACGAAATGGCTCCGTTGGTACCCCTGGCTAGACATAAGTTAACATCTAGAAAAACCTACGTTATGTCACAGAAATCCTACAAAACTTCGTCAATCGTCAAAATGTCACTTTCCAAGATACGTAATACCCGTGCGGTACGCACTCATCGTCATTTAATCCTGTATTTGCTAATGTCTGAATCTATTTTAATCTGTATCCTTTGTGGGCGAAAAGCAAAATTGTCTTGTCATTCGAAGGATAGAATCGCGATCTGAACAAGGAAAGTGATCAAATACACGCTCGTCCATTCCGCTGTCAGTTTTTTATACGATGCGTATTCACGGCACGTAAGCGAGTTTAGAAATCTCGAGACGTCTCTACGTCTCGTTCCTCGGTTGTCCCGATGGCTCTACTCTATTGTAATAACAACGGAGACGTACTGATTCAAAAA